CGAGTAGCTGAAAAATTGGAACCAATTGACGCGATATATCACATGCCGTTCTGACATAAAATATGGCGTCCATCGAATCACCTTAACGCGGTCCATTCAACGTACTCGCAGATGCAACCGGATGCCCCGCCGTATGCTCCGGCCTTTAACAAAATCATCAAAGGTGCAGCTTGTAGAACCATCACATCGGAGACGCTTCTATATTACAAGAATAAATTCGACGGAGATTGTTCGAGGGCTTTCGCCACTTTGACCGACATCGGACGCAACGTTTGTACCGGTTGGCAGGGCGCCGCATGCCTTAGAATCTCCAGCAATTGGGAATGCGCGGCTTACGTCCCGGGCCCGAGAGGGATGGAGGTCAGGACCCTTAACAGTTGCGGGCCGAACCTTCCTCCGCCGAGAGACCCGCGGTTGAGGTGTTTCACCGGAGCGGGGCAAACGTCGGGAACGAGAACCGATGACGTCAGGAAGAGACGGCGTAGTCCTCCCTCGCTTGCTGCGGGGTCCTCTAGAAATATCAGATTCAAACCGGGTCGCCAAGCCTCGGGATCTTCATTTGCTCCAGGTTTCCTCTTTTATCATCTAATATTTGGACGTATTTCTATCAAACGGAACGAAGCGCCAATTTGAGTTCCTTTTGAGGAATGTAGAATCCCGGATAGCGCGTTCTGTCAAACGGACCTAAGCGCCATGGAAAAGCATTGCGAGTATAGGACGGAATAAGCCGGACGCCCGATTCCGCCGCCAATCCAAGCCCCCCTCTACCTTCCTCACCCTATGGCGTTTCGGTCCGTTTGATAGAAATACGTCCATTTCTGCCACGATAGCGAGGAGAGCAATAAGTGCAAAAATGGAGATGTTGCATGTGTGAGGGATTTGCGATTTGACAACTGATTCGTAGGTAAAAGTTTGCGAGAAACACGATGGTGCCACTGGTTTTCTCTGAAATCAACTCCCAAGCTCAAAAAAAGCCCTCGAGTTGAGGCCAAAATGGAGGGGATATCCCACGCTATCCTGAGAGTCCACCTCTATACATCAAGACAACCTCTCCATGCAAAAACAGGTGATACATTAGCAGGGTTGCCATGTTTTAGGTTTTAGAGTCCCCAAATATAGTGGCAGCCCTGTCAATGTATTTGCTCCCTACCTTTGCATGGAGAGTTTGTCTTGATGTAGAGGTGGACTCTCAGGGTAGGGTGGGATATCCCCTCCATTTTGGCCTCAACTCGAGAGCTTTTTGTGAGCTTGGGAGACGATTTCAGAGAAAACCAGTGGCACCATTGTGTTTCTCGCGAACTTTTACGTACGAATCAACAGTCAAATCGCAAATTCCTCACACATGCAACATCTCCATTATGTTTTGAGAAAACGGGTTCAGAAGCTTTTGACCAGATTTTATTGAAAGAGGCCTAAGTCCTTAGTCAAACTGCCATTGAATTTTACACCTTAATAATAATCAAGGATGCAGTAAGCCAACATTATTCTTCAAAACTAAAGGAGGCCATCGAAATTGCTCTAATTTAAGGGACAAATAAACTCTACGCGTAGTGAGGCGAGAATTTAAGAAAAACGAACGGCACAATACTCATCCTAAAAATCGATTATTTTCGGCCTTGATTAATCTGAGATTAATCGATTTTCTGGACAAAATCGACTCTTTCGATTTGATCGATTTTGAAGGAAAAATCAACAGCATTCATTTAATTTCTGCCGTGATAGCGAAGAGAGCAGTAAGTGCAAAAATGAAGTTTTGGGAATACGGGATTAGAAGTATCTTACCGGAAAATTTTATTGAAAGGAGCCTCGGTTCTTTCTCAAATTATCACTAATTGTCTGAAAGACTCCCAGAAATTGTTTACATGGTTAAAAATTGACTGATTTTATTTCAATTGCGCCGGTTCCCGCGTATTGTGCAATTTTTAAGAAGGTTTTGACAACGCTGCAGATCAGCTCAGTGGCAGCAAAGCAGATGGGGTGGAAGATAATTTATCTCACAGACGGTGTGAAGCCCTATAGAATTTCTTTTCAGCATTTAAAATTTCCACCAATTTTGGGGCCAAAAAGTTTCTGATTTTTCTAAAAGTTCAACCTGTGTGCGCTACATAGTTAATGATATAACGACTATTTCCGGCCCCTTCTAGAAACAACATATGTGTTATCGGATTCTTCATGATCGTGCGTACTTTAATGGACGAGCTAAGAAATACTCGTCACATTTCGCAAAATATAATATAAACGAAATGTTATTCACCGGTTACTAATACTGCCGTGCTAAGGAAGAACGTCATATAAACATTCGAGAGTTGCCAAATTTCCCTTGGAAATACCTGTATTTTTGACAACATTCATGCATATTTATCCTGAGTATTCTCAGATATTCTAGATTAAATTGCGTACAAAATCGTCTGTAAATTTTGGAAAATAATACTCGCAATTTCCCTAGTAAATTCGGGTTTTATCGGAGGAAACTTGGCAACGTCTAAAGGCTCATATGACGTTCTTCCCTAGCATGGCAGAATACTTTGCCGCAGGATCTTCTCACCCTGCTAATTACTGGTGTACAAACGTTATCAATTCTCTTCGTAAAATGTGACTCGCAGAATCATTTTTTTGTACTTTTTATTGACTAATAAAATGTTTTATAGACACCTATCCACTAATTTATTTTTACCTCTAGGCGTGCCTCCATACACCGGAGGGTTTTCCGTAGGTTCCTCATCATCATTAATTCCCACGTTCAGTCAAAGGACTACTTCAGGCGTTGATATTGGGCGGATACCTGCAAGACCAAGTATTTCAAGAGAAGGTCTGGAAATCCCTGTCATTCCACCGCAAGTAGCAGCGCTTAAAAGACTTGGTATGGAAGGTCCATCCGGTGTAAGTTATCAAGGTCAAGGTCAAGGTCAAGGTCAAGGACAAGGTCAAAATCAGGGTCTAGGTCGAGGTTATAGTCTAGGGCGAGGTAACCTTTTTTATCCAGTAATTTTATTTAATTTCTTCCGGTCTCCGCAATTTTTACTTTTTAAATTTTTTAAATTTTGGTTAAGAAACATGTATCAGAATGCGCAACTTCGCACCTTGTCTGGTAGTCCATTGGTTCCGAAATTTAATCGTCTATACCTAAAGGCCTTGTGGGAGTATCTTGTGATTCTTGGGAAAAGATCAGGGAATTACTTTGATTCGTTCTCCCCCCAGAAAATAAAATGGGAGCATATGCAGAGATTCTACGGAAAACGTGGTATTCCAGTTGATAATCTTTGATATTGGTGAAAATGTAATGTTAATTCCCGTTTGTGACACTTTGGAAAGCTAAAATACGGGAACCAATCAGAAATGGATTCAAATTGTCTTTACTCTCATTATAGAAGGGACCCTTCCAAAACTGAGGTCCCGGGTTCAATCCCAGAGATGATTGATATTAGAGGACACTCGGATGTCAGTCATCGAGCCCCAATACTGACGTGCCCAGGAAGAACGCCGTATGAACATTCGAGTGTTGCCAAATTTCCTTCCGTAAAATGTTTATTTTTAAGAAGAGTTATGAATATTTTTCCTTGAAATTTTCAGGAACTTTATGTGAACTTGCGGGCAAAATTATCTGAATAATTTGAAGGAAAATATCCATAAGTTAGCCAGGAAATTCGTGTCTTATCAAAGGAAATTTCAAGGAATTTCAAAGGAAACACCTCAAGGTTCATACGGCGTTTTTCCTTAGCACGGCAGAATAATGCGCCTCTCTTGTAATTGATTTTCGTCAATAAAATAAATTAATGACCTTCAGCCATTATGAATGCTCAGAATGTAAACCCTGAAGGCAGCTCAATGTCATATGGAAGAATAACAAGTTAATTGGGGGGAAAAGGCTGCAAAAAACAACAAAGGATAAACAAAAATCCTGGAACGTTTCGGAATATTAACACTTCCATTTTCAACCGAAAAAAAATAATATATAAAAACAAAATAAATAAAAATGAGCCGTCGATTCGCTGTTATTGCGAGACCGAGACTCGGTGTTGTTTTCCCCAAATTAAGTTGTTATTTTATTATGTGACTTTTGGGTGATTAAGGTGATTCGATGGACGCCATATTTTGTGTCAGAACGGCATGCGATGTATCGCATCAATTGGTTCCATTTTTTCAGCTACTCGTCATTTTTCTCAAATTTCGAGATCGCAATTCTGTTGTCGGGAGACTAAAGCACTCACTTACCAATTTAAACAAGGAAATTCAACGTAATAAAAGCGGGTTTTTTTAGAGAGAAAATGTCGCATTCGAGTGCAGTTTCGATATCAGTATCGAATGCGATGTTTTCTCTGTGAAAAAAACCACGCCTTTATTACGTTGAATTTCTTTGTTAAAATTGGTAAGTGAGTGCTTTAGTCTCCTGACAACAGAACTGCGATCTAAAAATTGGAGAAAAATGACGAGTAGCTGAAAAAATGGAACCAATTAATGGGATCTATCGCATGCCGTTCTGACACAAAATATGGCGTCTATTGAATCACCTTAAGTTGTTTTTCAGTCATATGCAAGATTTCTAAGGCCTTGTCTCCACGAGCCGTTTCGCGAGATTTGTCCCAGGGAAAAATCCCACTTACGAAGTTGGGAAAAATGTTGAGTTAATCAATATTTTTCCCAGTACCAAGTATGGTACTTGTACCCCTAGGACCCACTGAGAGAAGAAGAAGAAGTGAAAACGAATTTTGCGATATTTTATTCATTACTTCATTGTTCATGTTTGTTTAGTTAAAAAATGTGTCTAATTGTCAATTGTGTGCAATTATTATTTTAATCCCGGTCAAATACTCGACTTTAACTAATTTATCTTCCCGCGCAAATTAGTCGCAGGACTGCAAAGAGCCCTGTCCCGTGGAGACGGTAACTGGGAAAAATCCCAGAAGTTTCACTCCTGCGATTCGAACTTGGGAAAAATCCCATGAAAACGTCCCGTGGAGACAAGGCCTAAGCGACTGGGCACTCCAACAAATGGGTTCACAGTGGTCGCAACCTAAACATTTCGGAATCATTTATGTTTTCAGAGACTGGAAAACAAAGTCTATCGGAAGTGGAGCCCAGGCATGCCGGCCCAGTCGACCGTACTCAGTGTGACCAATGTGGGGAATCGTTTAGAACCCCAATGGGATTATACGATCACTCGTTTTACCACAAAGGAGAGACCATCTGTACACGCGAGCCATGCGGCAGAATTGTTTTCAAGAACCGATCCAAATACATCGATCACTTGAATGAGAAACATGAATCAGGTGAACCTCTCTATATTTGCACACAATGGGCCTGTTGCATGCAAGAGATACAGCCGCGCGAATAGACTTTCTAGGGGTTAAATGACACGAAAATTACGATGGTCTCATTAAAAAAGTCTGAAATACACTCTTTGCGTTGTTAGGAACCCGCTTTTTCAAACTTCCCGCGTCTGGGGGCAGTTTTCTAATCACCGGAAACGAGCAAACGGCGGGCTCGGTGATTTCCGGAAGATGCCGAGTCGTTGTTATTGTTGTTATTGGCGCGTATACGTAGTATACCGCCTTTGCGATCGTTTCGACCCCCCCCTCGATACAATAACCGAGTCCCCTAGTTCCTTACCGAAAAGTGACTACCGCGAACTTCTGAGATTTTCCAAAGCGTGTAAAAAGTTTACTAATCCGTCAATAATAATGATTAAAATTTGTTTCTCATTCTGGGGCTCGCTAGTTTATGTGTAATGAATACCAAGAGTCTACGTTTCTTGGTTTTTTTT